GTTTTTAAATGAAGCAATTTTTTTCGTCATTAATTTAGACTAATTGTTTATCTTTCATCTTATTGTTGTTGGTTTTTTATCACAACACTCAGGCCATTTAAGACTCTGTTACGCAGCATGGATCAGAAATAAACAAAAACGGGCAGATATGTGCCCACAAAAAAAATCGAGTGTTTAAAAAGGATGTTTTTTTTTCCATGACACCGCTTTTTTTAACTATCTTCATTGGTAATGTTTATTCACTTGTTTTAAGAAGCGATGATTAGAATTGGAATAAAAACCTAAACATGAAAGTAAATACATACATTTTCTTTATTGTTGAGAATTTATTTACATGAAAAATAATAAACACTATTTATTTATTGTTTATTTACACGATTTATTTATTACATACATTATTTACTGAAATGGTTGGCAAAACATCGGCTAATTACTAATTGAATTAAAATGGTAAATAATAAGGATTTCCTTATATTTGGTTCACATATTTTAATTAATTTAGCAAATGTTTATAAACTTATGAATAAAAATTGTTTTTACATTTATTTCTTTAATATTACAGTGTAACCCGGATATAAGAGAAACCCGGATATAAGAGACTTTTTCTCCGGTCCCGACAACTCTTATATCCGGGTTACACTGTAATTGATAAATGATAAATATTGCCTTGTTCTTATATAGTTTTTAGAATGTTGTAAATATAAAATTAATCTTGTAAATAAACAAATAAATAGAGTTTAATATTTTTGTTGTAAATTCTCAAGGATAAAAATGTATAAATTCATTTTCATCATATGTTTATTCTTTATTACAATTCTAATCATTGCTTTTTAAAACAATAAACATTGCCAAAGAGAGTGAAGGTCATGGGAAATGACCATCGTTTTGACAGACACTCCGTCTTATTGTAGTGACTACTAATACGTTTGCCACGCCTACAGTTTTCTCAACTGTGATTGATTAAATAATAAATACTGTTTACCACAGGACAATTTATTAATCGCAGTCACCACACTGAATTTTTCTGCCGTGAATTTCACAAACATGCTTTTGTTAGAAAATCACCGATTGGTTAATTTTTCATCCAATCATATATTTTCTGTGTTCGTTCAATTCTCCCGCCTTTGTTTCCTGGATCAATAGTTATAAAAGCAGTGTTTTGTTCCAAAAATAGACAGTAGAATCCACCAACTCACACGCGTCTACTCAGATTATTGATTCTACTCACTACACACACACAGAACTTGAATTACATTTCACCATCCGTTTTCTGTGAACAAGCCAAGTTACAAACCAACACTCTGTTAGTTATACAAATAACACACAACTGAATTAACTGTATGTTTTTCTGAATGCAACATTTTATTTCAACATAGAACATTGAACATTCTATTCAAGAAACATTCTTAATTACATTTTATTTTATTCAAGCTAAAAGACAAAGGGAAACTACTTTCTTTTTCTTAATATTCACACATTACAAAATTGTTTTGTATTTGTTGATTTTAATATATATTTTATCGTTGAAACAAAAATCGTTTTCTCATTGTTTTTCCTTGATTCAATAATGTATAAATGTTAAATGCTCTTCAACACGCAGCCACATTAATCTCTTCAACATAGTACACAAGCAACATTTACATTATTGCGGACACGTTTGTCAATATTTGCCCACATTTTGGGGCAAAATGTGGCTCCCGATGAAATTTAAACTCATATTCCATATCCTTTTCAGATGTAAGGATATGAGACACAAGTTTTAATCTCATTTGAAGTAGTTATTTTCAATCCACAGCACTTAATTAATAATTGTAGAATATTAAACAACTTGAAAATTGTGACTAAAAAGATAGTCGTGTGTGGATCTATTACGCACAAACATACATACATACAAAAATACAAATCACATACAACGCCAAGCATTCATTGGTTAATTAATCACCACTAAGTTATTATAGGCAATTTACAAATCGCAGCAATGCGACAATTTTGTAATCGCTCTATTTTTAAGTAGTCAATTTTGTGCACTTTTGGGAGAAACGGATCACAGAAGCTTTCTTAAGTTTCCTCAAAGCTCGCTCGCTGATTGGTCGATGCCAACCAATCAGATCTTTTGCACGTTAATTCCTTTTGCTTGCGTTAATTCCTGACCATTTATAAGCCTGTTCTTGATTTTCTATGTATTTCTATTGTAAGATATTGCACAATTTATTCTTTTAGTGTTGTTGCGGGAATGGAAGTTATTCATCTTATGCATCCTGGTAGATTTGCCCTACAAACAAAATTGGGTGAACTCATGTGAGTCCGGGTAAATTAAAGTCACAAAACATGTAATTCAAACAAACAAAAATTAATCATTATATCAACCAGACATGTTACCCAAGGGTAAAATAAGTAATGTAATTGAAATAATGAAGAGTTCAAAGCAACATTCAGTGTGCGTCTTTGAGTGAGAATAAACACGTTTTGTTGCTTTGCAAGTCAAAGGAGAAAGAGGAAGAGGCTTTCAAATGTCGAGCTACCTATGATTAACATCGGGGGTGGCGATCTACGGACCTCCAATCTGCGGTTGACTGGGGCTGGAAATGTCTTGTAAACTTTAATGCCTCCAAAACGAAACTGCTTTCCTTTACCCACCACAGAGAACCCTCCCTGCCTCTCATCAGAATGGCTGATTCCCAACTCCTTGAGAGCGCCTCGTTATGCCTGCTTGGTCTCATGCTGTCCACTGACCCGAGGTCGGACAATTACATTGAATCAATAGCTTCATCTACTGCAAGGAAAGTCGGTTCTCTATGTCGTGCCAGAAAGTTTTTTTCTCGTCTGAATCCATCCTTTAAATCTATGAATCAACCATCTGTCCTTGGATGGAATATTGCTGTCATATATGGACTGGTGCCCCCGCTGTACGTCTCGAGGTCCTCAACAAAATCCAGAGAGGAATATGCAATGTGATAAGTCCTGATCTGGCATCTAGTCTACAGTCGCTTTCTCACAGACGTACCGTGGCTTCCCTCTGTCTCTTCTTCAAGTATTTTCACGGCAACTGTTCTGACGAGCTACTTTCGCTGGTTCTCAGACTGTATGTAAGTGAACTACCAAATTGGCATTTCGGTCCCACCCTTTCACTGTCAAAACAGTTTAATATGACCGTCTCTTCTCAAACAGTTTCTTCCCTCGCACTTCCTGTTTGTGGAATTCTCTTTCCCTTGCTTGGTTCCCAATGACTATAATCTTAAAATATTCAAGTAAAATGTCAATCGACGTATGATATCCTGAGCTTTCCCCCCGTCTTTCTCTGTATCCTTTCCTAAAAAAAACCCTCTTTACTCTTGTTCGTAATCCTCTGTAACTTCTTGCGTGCTAGTGGCTCTCCCGAATTGCTTGGGGTGAATTGCTTAAAAAAAAAAAAAGAAAAAAAAAGTATACAATTCTGTAGAAAAATCATTGGCGATGCATTTACATTATACACATAATAGCCCTCTTCTTTTGATAATGTTCATTATCTCCTGGCTATTGATAAGCCAGTTTTTCCTATTTTTCAATGCTATATCTATTGTAGAATATTTTACAATTAGTATGACACACCCAATAAGGATTTAACTCACTACTCAGTACTAATGATCACCCAAACTCTCTTGGTAAACATTATCCATGCTGAGGTGTCAATCCATCCTTATCAGTCAGTGATAGATAAGAAAATCCTTACACATAGCACATCGCTGTTGGGGTACTGGACCCCAGAAAATCATTCCACCATCCACCCGGTGAAAATGTGGAAAACTAATTTTAGTATACAGATTCTTATTGGTGACCCCCTCTGACTTAAAGACCCCCCTCCTTCCCCCACAAAATACTCTGGCAACAAGCCTGCTTTAAACCTTCAAACTTACTCTTTCTAAGGATGTATTGATTAATGAATCGATTTTGGGGTACTACAGTAGAGTAATGGTTAGCATCTCGGATTGAGGAATCAAAGAACTGAGTTTGAATTCCAGTCGGGTTCATTACATTCACTTACATGCTCATATTCTTGTGAAAGGTATGAATCCAACTTCCCCCCCAGCTATGGATAAATAGTAGGACAAATAGATTCTATAGTCTTGGGTGGTAATCAGTCTAAGAAGAGGAAACTCTGAATTCAAAACTGTATGTAACCCTGGCAAAGAGCATGCAGCTAAAGAGGATCGTTCGTATTGATTTGACGACCCCCCCGACTACAGTCGACTCCCCACTTTTTTTTTGTTTCGCTAGGACTGAGTAATGTAATGAGTTTGATTGTTGGTGATTAATACTTGTGACCTTTTGTACGTGTAAGCTATGCTTAATAAATAATAATTATATTTCGGGCCAAGAGGTACTCGTATTATGTTTTATGACCAACATGTAGAATCACGATTATGTTTTTTCTCCCTAAATATTTTATTCACTTTTAAGTGATGAAAATTTGATTGATTAATCACAAGTTAAAAGAAGCATTTTACTAAATTAATCCAGACTGATATTAAAATACATTTAAATAAAGTCTTTAATTTTCAATTACCAAAGGACAAAATTCTGTATAAAAAGTTAAATGAAAGGAAGACGTTATGAATTGAAAACCCAGTATAAAAAAAAAGGAAAAAAAAAAGAAATGGTTTTTATTAAAGTTTCGAATACTGATTTCAAGTAAAACTGACTTCTTCATTTGAGTAACTGACGCACTTTTCGCCATTCTGCTTTTGTGCTAAATTAAGATACATATATTTTACTTTGCCTCTTACTAAGCTTGGAAAAGAAATTCTCTACGATCAATCATTTTGTTTGATTTAAGTTTTTGACCCAATTTTTCTTTTTTTTAATCTAGGACAATATTATGTCCCTTGAACGGAAGTTAACGAAAGTTTATTGTTTTTCTTTTTTCTACCTGCATTTTTACCTGCCCTCATTTAGTCTCCAGATAAAAAAAGAAAGAAATATAACAGGACTTGGTTAAAAAAGTCCCGCTTTTACAAAAGACAATGTCAAATATTTTTATACATAGCTTTTTTTTAACGTTAGCTGTTTCTACAGGTAAGTTGAATGTTCCACTTTAAAAAAAAAAAAAAAAAAAAAAAAACGTATCTTGTTATCTCTCGTTTGAGGAAGTCATCTGTCTGTTTTTAAAAAAAATTAAATACTTACATTGAGAGAAAAAAAATAACGTTAGAACTTTCATCTCTACTTAGACCTCGCATTTGTACTTTTAATTATTGTTTAGACTAATTATTTTGTAATTTTGTGATCTTCGATTTTTGTTTTGATAGTAATCAAGAAAATATCCAGGTCGGTCGTTACAGGTTGGTTAACGTACCTGTTACGGGAAAGTTTATAATTACATACATGGCGGACAAGCCATGACAGGTGTGGCCAGTTCACTCCTGAGAAGGAAATCGAAAGAAAATAAATGTTTTTTTCCTGATTTTATATAGTTTGTGAATTTAATTAAAAACTTATTGAATTTTCAAGCCTAAGTTAGGGGGAGACCCTTCAGCTTAAAAATGAATTCATTTATTAATTAGGATTATTTTCTTATTAACAACTTAATGGCACGTTTTTACTTTTTACCTAAAAATTTAAATACTTCTTGTTTGATGTTTGTGAAAGGTTTTAAAAAGGGGGGGTAAATAAAAGTTAATAGTAACCAAAATAAAGACCACATCAAACTTCCTTTAGAATTAAAAACTGTATGAAAAAAAAAAAAAAAAAACACAACCAAAAACGTTTATTGTTTTGTTTAAATTAAAAAAAAAAAAGAGATTATTTTTCGTATTACAACTGAGAATTTGAATTTTTACTTGTCTTGTTTTTAAGGTTGAGCAAACTTTAAAACGACATTTTTAAATTTAATTTAACTGTTTTTAAATTCTCATTTTTATTAATTAAATTATGAAGTAATAAAGACAAAGTGTAAGGCAAAAAGGTAAATCACTTCGTTTTTGTGTTAGAGAAACTAATTTTTGGTCCTTTTCAATTCTGTCAGTTTTTCTTTTTAAAGTTTGTCGTTGAGAAATGCATAGGCGAAAGAAAGCATAACTTTTTCAGTTTTTCATAAAATTACCAAATAAAAAATGTGAACGAAATGTCTTTATTTATTTTTCCATAAGTAAAGTATACAAACTTATTTGTCTAAACTTTTTATTCCTAAATAAACAAATATTTGCTTAACTATTTCATCGTGGATTTTAACGTCCCACAAAAATTCCACAATCATTCCAAATACTGAATTACCATCGATAGATTTATTTACCTCGCTTCGCATTTAAACACTAGTCACGCATTTTTTTTCTGTGAAAATGAAATCATCACGGATTTCCTTATTTAAGAAGAAGGAAACGCATTTTAAATAATTTAAATGACATTTTAAATTTATTCTTTGAGGTTAAATTTTGGTTTTATTTGAAATATAATTAAACTTAAAACGTTAATCCAAAAAAAAAAGAAGTAAAATAAACAAAAAAAAAAAAAAAAAACCCCAAAAAATGAAAATTAGATTTTTTTTACCTCTTCAACCCTGCATTAGTCACATGGGGTATTTAGTAACCCCAAATTTTTAAAGTACTCGTAATTCCTAGATAGCAACTTGTTTCGTTTGCAGCTCCATGCCAGTTACAGTGTAACCCGGATATAAGAAAGATTTTCTCTGGTCCCAAATTAGAGCCTGTGTTAATGTAAACAAAATAAACCAAATCCGGATATAAGAGAAACCCGGATATAAGAGACTTCTTCTCCGGTCCCACCAACTCTCTTATATCCGGGTTACACTGTATTACTCTCTTGACTTAGTGTGGGTGTGTAGCACGAGGTATGGCACAGTTGAGGCTCAGTTGTCATAAGGGGTAGATGCCAGAGGATTATCCATTTTCAGAAATCCGAGCTGAGTAAAACAAGGTTAAATAAAGATTTATTTTAGACATTTTATAATTAATAATAAATTCATTTCCACCCAGTCCGTTTAGCTAATCTACTGAAAGCTGACAAAAGAGAAGCACTTTAAAAATCTCTTAAAAATCCAAATATCTATCCAATAAATTTGTTTCAAAGAAAAATACTAAATTTAGGGATTATTTAATTTGATTTTCTAAAAATATTACTTACGTTTTGATTGAAATATAATGAAAATACATTTTTCTCTAGCAGAGTATGTTCTTCATTGTCAACACATAAAACGTCAAAGTTTTCTTGTAGCTCTTTCCCCTACTTCCAAAGTTGTGCCAGGAATCAAATCAAATACAGAAGCCCAAACCTGCCACAATCAATAAACTTGATTTCATGGAAGAAGAAAAAAAATTAGGAATACTTGAGCATTATGAAACTTTGAATGAACAATTTTGAATTTTTTACAATTTAAGATGAAATATAAAAATGGCAGGCGAAAAATAAAAAATAGTCAAGTATACAGATTTTCCAAGGCTAATGTCTGCTTACAAGTTCCAAGTGTTCATTACAATAGATGTAGATTTATTCAGTCTTTTAAAAGTGCTTGATGATACAATTGAAATAAATAATATGTTAAATTTAGATGTTTTAAATTTTGTACAGAATGATTTTTATAGCAGTGGTTGCCAACCTTTTGAACTTCATGTACAATTAATGTATAATTTTAAATTTGGCGAACCATTAATATGAATTTAGAGAAAAAAAAGGTAAATACATTTATATAATAATAATATATAATAATAATAATAGGAAGAAAACTTTTATTAATATGAAATGCACCAATTAAAGGTAACAAAATTATAGTCAAATTATTTAAATGAAACAAATTAAAAATTTGATGTTTATTCAAGGATTACACATTTTTAGTGTGATATTTGTTCTTGTTTGTTTGAAATCAGTTTGTGGATTTTTGTCTCCTATGATGTTGCTACAAGACAAAGAGCTGTATTTATTTCAAGCTGGTACCGAGTTTTAATTGCTGTGACAGATAAAAATGCCTTTTTGCACAAATATATTGTTGGAAATTGAATCAAAATTTTCATTGTTTTTCATAGTGATGAGTATTCATTTTTTATAGAGAGCCAAAAATGAGGTCTTGATAAGGATAACAGGAATTTAGCTTTGAGAATGTTGTCGCAAAATAGATCAATAAGGCTTTCTTTTTCATTCATGCTTAAATTGCTATCTTCAATATTTGCTGCAAATGGATCTAATGCAATTTGCAGGTCGGTAATACTAGAATTAGGCAGACATGTAAGTTTAAATATCTGAGAAGCGTTTTGACAGAGGCGGGTAAGTGTGACACTCAGATCCGTAGATGTATTGGGTTGACCAAAAGCTGGGCAAAATACTGCAAGACAGGAGGATTTCTTTGGTAACAAAGAAAAGAATACTGAGCTGTTATGTGACATCTGCCCTTCTTTATGGCAGCAAATGTTGGACAATTTCCTCAAAGATGAAGAAGAGACTCAAGGTGACAGAGACCTGGTTCTACAGAAGGATGCTAATGATATTCTGGTCAGAGTGTGAGCAACGATGAGGTCTTAGAGAGGATGCAAAAAAAGAGGAGGCTTATACTTAACATCAGGAAGAGGCAGCTGAAGTTTCTGGGACACATAATGAGGAAGGAGGGCTTGGAGAATTTGATACTCGCGGGTAGAATAGAGGGAAAGAGAGACATGGGAAAACAACGCATGACATACCTAGCATCCTTAAGCAAGAAGATGACAGAACGTGGTCTGGGGGAGGTGGCAGAGGGAAGGAACTTGTTGAAAGCTGCAACGGATAAAGGGAGGTCAAGAGCCATGATAGTCTACGTCCTGAAAGGACATGGCACATAAAAAGAAAAAGATCCACATATTTCCACATCTAGGATCATCTTCCTTTGGGTAATAAAAACCAAAAAATTCCGTCAGTGACTCTCCTATGTATTCATCAAAATTTATAAACATTTTTAGATCCTCTTCAGTCAACAGCATTTGCCACAGTGATATTTTCTTTTGAAAAGCATCTATTTTACCTCATATTGTAAACATGTCCTTAAGTTGTTCTTGCCAGGATATATTTAGTTCATTTAACAGTGAAAAAACATCTGCCAGGTACGCAAACCTTGGCTACCCACTCTTTGTCAGATGAGAGTTCTTGAAATTTCAGAGTATTTTGCTGCTGAAAAAATAATTTAATTTCTTCATGAAGGACAAACAGTCGGATCAGTATTTTGCCCCACAAAAGCCATCTCACTTCAGCGTGAAGAAGGTGAGTATACTTGGAACCCATTTCTTCACAAAGTGTTTCAAATATTCAAGAATTGAGTGCTTTGTGTTGAATTTTATTTATAGTTTTAATAACATCTGATAATACTTCGTGTAGTTCTGGGGACATTGCTACAAGATGCTCACGATGTATAATGCGGTGTGTTGATAAAATGTCTGGGTGACCAATATTTTTCACCTTTGTAACAACTGAATGATGTCCAGTCATGCTTGTGACACTGTCTGTACATATCCTAATACTTTTTTCCATTCAATTCCGTGTTCCAGGAAATAACTATCAAGTGCTTTAAAAATCTCAGAGCTAGTTTTTCTATTCAGCAAGTCGAGTGAACAAAGTAATTCTTCCTTTAATTCTCCTTCATACTGAACCCTCACAAAACAAAGGAGAAGAGCCTTGTTACGTCCATTGATTCATCAAGTTGAACTTAATAAAATGGTGAATTTTTTTACCATTTTTATAACTTGATTTTCAATATCTTCAGTCATTTCTTCAATTCTGTGCTTTACAGTGTTAGCAGACATAGGAATTACTTTCAATTTCTGTATATCTTGTTTTCCCAAAACCTCTTCACTGGCTTGTAACGTACAAGACTTGATTAATTCTTCTCTAATAATATATAGCTTTTTATTTTTTGCCATTTGAAGTGCTATCAGATAGGAAGCCATTAATAAGGACTTATCTTCAACAACCATATTTTTTAAAGCACCTACTTGTTTTTGCATATTTTCATGCATTCTTTGAAAATATTCAAGTGGTTTCTTAACTAAATCTGGGTGTTTTGATTGCAGGTGTCTTTTGAATTTTGAAGGTTTTATGGCATC